AAAAAGTTTAAATGTTTCCATGTTGACTTGAACAAAAGATGTGCTCTTGTTCTAAAAAGAAGAAGAAGAAGAAGAAGAAGAAGAAGAAAACAACGAGGTGTCCCTTGAACCCACAGAGGAAATACTTGAAAACAGGAAACAGCTGATTTAAATACCCATTGGGCCAAACCAAGCTAACAACCTTACCATTGGCATGGGTTAAACAAATGACCAACCAAATCAGTCGACAATATAAAATATTTTAAGTTTTAACTGCACATTTACTCTAAAAAATGTTATTCTTCATGCTACAAAATAATTTTTCTTGGGCTACAAGAAAAAGTGGATAGAGATCCCACTGCCTCACCCCTCTGATAAATCCAACATGGTATGGTCCGAATTGACAACAGCTGTTTGCAATTACCTGTTAGTGATTGCGCCACACACCAATTCAAACAAATCAAACAAAGAGAAAAGTGTCTGATGAGTGTGAAGTCTATGTAACAAAACGAAAAATACACTAAACACAAAAAAATAAAGGACAAGCTATAAGGGAGTGGATGTTGCTCTCCCAAACTATTCCCTCATTAAAGCATTAAAAGCAACAAAACAACAACAACCTTTGAGTAACTTGGAGAGTTGGTTTCGGAGAAGAGACATCAGAGGCTTGTCATCAATCTGTGTACTTATTACTCAATTCAATGGTACTTAGCTGCCAAAAACTCACCAAACTGCTAAGAACAACTCTCATTCCACCACACCATGATGTTAAGAAATGTCTTGCACACTTGCTGTAAGTGCTGTCAGTGATGCATATAAAGCACAGCGCTGGGTCTTTGAACAGTCACAAGAAACTCAACATAACATGGAAGTATTAAAAAGGAAGGTTGGACTTATCCATCAAAATCACTCAAGAAAAACATTCATTCATTGGTGAAAAATATTGTCAATTGTAGTTCAGAGTTCAACTCTGAGGAATTTTGCACTCAGGGATGAAAAAGGACAACATGGGGCATATGATAGTCTAGCAGTTATGTTGTCCGCCCCATGTACCAAGGCTATAGTCCTTGTCGCATTGGCTGTGGGTTCGAATCCGACCTCGGATTTTGTTGCAAGTAATCCCCCTCTCTATCTCCTCGTAACACTTCCTTTCTCTCTTCAGCCATTCTATCCATTAAAGGCAAAACTTCTCTAAAAATAATCAATAATATGCATTTTTCTGGCTAGCATGTCAACAAACCGTATTTTTAATTTAAAATACTTGCACATCCAAAGAGATCAGAGGAATAACACACCTGGGGAAAATATCCAGGGGGTTTTAAAACTCACATTCAGAGTTTTCCTCTGGTTATAGAACCAACTGAAATGAATACTGATGCACCTACATCAGTGGTTACCAACCATTTTTTTTATGGAGCCACAATACTTGTATCTAGGAAAAGCTGAGTCCCCTTCAGGACCCATAAAAAAGACACACTGCTGCGAAAAATTTGCATTCATTTTAATAGTCTTCATGAATAAGTCTCAACAGAGTAGACCCACACACCGTTGTTCTTACTAAAATACCTTTGTGTAAACTATCCAGTGAGTGTGTTGTCATGATTTTAGTTAATATGTGAAAATCTAATTCTGACAACCTCCGAGCAGACCAAGCCTTGTGTCGCATGCATGAAATAGTTTGAATGCACTTTTCATCCTTGTTTGGAATAACAGCTCTTTTATGGGAGTAGGAATCAAATATAGCCTTGGTTTCACAAGCCTGCAAAAAAAACAAGAAATTTCAAGCTAACGTAACTTTATAAGGATCACCTTTAAAGACTGGTCAGACCTGGCCTCTGGCAATACTGCAAAGGTTTATCCCTCCTTGAGCCGCTACACAGCCTCTGATCCTCCTGCAGGGACCGTCTTCCTGGTTCAACATTTAGAATTAAAAGAAGGGGTAACCAGGCTTTTTCCATCAGGACCTGTGTGATTTGGAACAACCTGCCCGAGGACCTTGTCCAATAACAGAATCAATACCATCTTTACTGCTTTAAACTTATTTTTCTAAGCTGTGTTTTTATTTGATGGGGGGCATTGTTGATCTTGGCATTTTTCTCTGTGGAGAAAGTTTCTGTCCAGGTTCTCCGGTTTCCTTCCGCCGTCCAAATCCATGAAGGTAAGGCGAAGATGAAACTCTTTACCGCCTGTGGGTCTGTGTAATGTGTTCGCTCTGTTATAGGCCAGCGACCTGTCCAGGGCGAAGGCTGCCTTTAGCCAAAAGCATTCTGGGAAAGACCTCTTCCACACTATGACCCTGAACAAGCTTAGTGGTTTAGGAAATGGACACAGGTTGTTATTTGATGCCATTATTTTTCTTCTCTAACCTCTTGATTTACTATTTTTTTTCAAATGTTTTAAGTAGGATGTTTTATTTTTAAGGCATTCAAGACCTGCCATTTTAAAATGCTGAACAAGTAAGTCCCACTTTTTTTTAAATTTAATTTGAATGAAATGAATTGAATGATCTTCACGGAGCTCTGTAATGCAAAAACAACGAAATTGGTCATGTCCCATTTCGATGCTTTCAATGAAGTGCTTGACTGTTTAAAAAAGAAGGGTCATTCTGTGAACACGAACTGTACTCACACCGTCCTTCACCTGAGTGCAGCTCTTTTGTCGCATCAATGGCATCTAACTGTAATAATCTTCTTAATTTATTAATTTCAGCTAGTCAGAGTGCTGCATTTGCATTTGCTCTGTCAAAGTCAGGTTTTCTTATGCGTTGCATTTTAAGCTAAATGGATTTGCTGTTACGCTCTTGAAGGTGAATGCTTTGTTTGGAGTCTGTCTGAAAAGTAAATAACCTATGCTATTCAGCTATTAGGCTATGTATGATTGATATTTCTGCAGTGCACATTCATATTTCCGCCCCAGTGTTTAATCAATTGTCATTACCCCGGCCAAGAACAAAGAGAGGAGAGGAGGAAATTTAATGTACATGCAGCTTTCCCCCTGGAGATCTGTCAATCATCAAACATCTATCTGCATAACTAATGACAGTCCTCGTGTTGCCCTTGGAGTTTGGGGGAAACAATCTGATTCATGGACACACATTTTTTTTTATGTCCAGGCAATAACTAAGAAATTACATATTTTCTGACAATGGTGGAAGATGAGTGAGAGGCTCATTTGCAGGAAAAGTGACCAAGGGAGGTTTTCTTCCCCCTTAAAATGTGCCTTTTCCTCCTTAACCTCTGCTTTCACATCATTAGTCACATGACCTATGGCCATCCCGATGGCATTGTCTTGTTCGGAATTTCGTTAAAGGGACACGTATTCCTCCCCTTTCGCATGACTATGGTTGTGACCTACATTTTGGGCATATCCCTCAATGACATTTGTTTGTCAGTTAGCGGACGCTGTCGGGCTAAAGGCGATGATTAACAATACATGGTCAAATAACTTATTTTTATCAGAAATGAAAATACTGCTGCAGTGTAGGTCCATACAGTGAAGAGAAAGAGCTCGCTTTAAAAAAAACAACAGTTATATAAAATCTGTGGGTGAAAAATGTAAAGTTTGAATTTTGAATTTTAGTTAGCTTAATTACTTTTTCACATTCATCAGGATATGTTTTTATCAATGACCTTGGTGACTATCAAGCAGCACATTGATATTTCCATATTAATAAAAAAGTGAAACCTGAAAAGTCCAGATGGTATTGCAGATTGAATCACTGTTGTAAATAAGAAAATCTTGATTTGCTAATGATTGCATCACTCCTACATTTGCATTCACAAAAAGGAGTGTGCACACTGAAACAGTTTGTAATTTTCCAAAAAGCTACATTTCAGCTCTTTACAAAAAACACTCTGACGTGTGGAAAAGCTTCTTTTTGTTTATCTCTGATGGATAATTCATGTTTGAAACACAATCCTTTGTGAGCTCTATGCAGTCAGTGAATACAACAGACCTTCTAATGACTAAAAAATAAGAGAGCTGACTTGAAACCAGATTATGAAAGCAGCTGAATGTGAGTCCTAGCCCACTGTCTTTTTGGCCATTTTAACAGCCGATCGTAAAGATGAAAGCCACTTCTTATGCCTCAGCATCCTCTGGTGACTGCAGCAATTACAGTAGTTTGGCAGGAGGCAGCCAGGAGGGAGCTCCACAGAGAGGCGAGTCTTTGTTTGCTTCTGGCCTGTCATATGGTTCTTTTTGTTTTCCATCGAGGACTTTCCTCTGAATCAAGCCCTGGTGTAAATACAAACCTGCTCTGAAGTGATTCATAATTCAGGAGACATCGTCAGCAAACAAGCGTCAAAGGATAATTAGTAACAGGGACGCTTTATTTGCTTTTATTAGGTCCAGACCGATGTGGGATTTTTAGGGCCGATATCAATATTGGGGAGGTGAAAAAAATCTGATACTGATATATCGGCTGATATCGTTCTTAAATCTATTTTCAATCTGTAGTGATAGATACATATAGATATACACAACCATTGCGTTGATCGCTCAAATGCGGACCGAACACTTATATCTACAAAATATATCTACAGTAAAAGACAAGCTGGTCACTCAACTGGAAAGTATCTGTGCATGTACAGTATGTGCATCACCGCTTGACGCTCTGGAGGTTTATAATGCTTTTTTTTAATCCATATAGCGCACTCTGCTGGTGAAAGCGAGAAATAGAACTGCCAGTTTAATAAAATCATACTCAAATGAAATGCTATTTGACTGCTGTATATATATTATTTAATATCGGCACATCTGCGATAAAATTAGCCTATACAATAGTCACTGGATATGCTAATATCGACCCATGTTATCGGCTGGCCGATTAATCGGTCGCGCTCCATTTATCACCATGACCTCACTTACTGAGTAAGTCTCTGGGTAATTTAGTCTTTTGCACACACAGAGAGAGATGAAGGTTTTTTACCAAAAAAATTAAATATTTATTTGTTTTAATCTTTTTTTAAATGTTCCATACATTTGCAAGTTAAGGTCAACATTGAAGAGGTTGTGGAAATCAGGTGGATGTTACCAGTCCATTCATCATGTTTTTTAATCCTTAATACTCCCCCTCTCAAAGACACAACCATCCCCTCCCCCCTCCCCTCCCACAAAGAACAAAAAAATATCAAAAGCAAAAACATCTCAGGTTATAAAATGAGTTGAACATATCGTACACATTCACACACAGTTCTGGAATGAAAATTGGCTCCCTGCGGGATAATGTTGGCCATCAGCCAATTCCATAAAACAGTCATTTTGTTTAGTCTTAAATCACTGTTGTGGTTTGTGCCTTATTGCCTTACAATTGGCTGTGGAGAGGGTAAGAAAAGAAACTGTTCACACACAATTGTCCTCAGTTTGTGACCTGCAAAAACCCCCATTTTTTTATAAATCAGCAAAATACAGCTAAAGTATGTCAGCATGAACCGTTCAGACTGACCTGGCAGCTCTTTTCTTCTGCTGCTCTGTTCCCGCTCTCTATTTTCCTCTGCCTTTCATCTCTCGGCTAAACTTGATTATTTTACAAAAGTGGTCATAGAAAATAAATACAAATATTTCCCAGGTTGTCATTTTTACATGACCCAGATGTCACCTCTGCACCAGAGTTCTGTAGAGTCCGTCTTACTTTCTGTCTCTTTGTTACTTTTATAATGTTCTCTTCCAAATACTTTTCTACAGCACTTTAGCAGAGCTCACCGGAACAGTTTCCATAGTGATCGTGATCCAAATAAATAAATAAATACATAAAAACAAATAAATACATAAATATTTCCTCCTTTTTTAAATAAATTACGTGTTTGTCAGAGGGTTTGCCTTGGCGTGGTTTTACCCCACCTTTGTAATGCTGATAATCTAAACTATGACAATGTCTCATAGTGAAAATAAAGGTTCTCATTTATGGTCCTGTTCCTTCAGAGTAAATGGCAGTTTTGGCGACGGGGTATCTCTGCCTTTTGTCTTTATTCCAAGCTTCCATGCTGATGTCCAAAAACTCTCCCAAGAACCAAACTGTAAAAAAAAAAAGGTCATCGCTGTGATATTCTCTTCAAGAGATAGAGAGGTGGTCTATCTTTAAGGAGGACACAGTGTTCGCTCTGATGTATCAGAGAAAAGGGGAAAACAGGAGGCAGAGAAGAAGGAGGAGGAGGAGGAGGGAGTTTTAAATGTATCATTGCAGAGCAGATGCTGTGCTAGGACCCTTCCTCCTCAGGTTTCCCTGGTGCATAATAGCCCGCCAGTTGCCTGAAACGAGGCCCCCAGTCGCTGAGGTAGGAGAAATCCTGCTCTGAGGTGGTAGACAGCGTGTGGATGGAGCTGAGCGAGAGCGCTGGCGAACTGTTGCCTTCAAAGGCATACGTCTGGAAGGAGTCATACGGCGGCACTGACAGGTCAGCGTCGGCCTGTTCCACCTTCTTTCGGATGTAGCCTTTAAATAGGGAGAAGTCTGCAGTCGCTGCCGCTGCTGCTGCGGCCCCCTCTGCACCGCCGGCCACTCTATTTGCCTGTATCCACTGCGGCAGCGAGCGGATGTCCGGGCCAGAGTCACAGCTCTTTGCCTCTGGGAAGTCATAGAGGTTTCTCAGTGCGCTCATGTCGTATGCCTGAGTGTCCTGCTCCCCTCCGCCCTCGTCGTTGTACTTGATGACGTTATCCCTCATGTCCTCCTCATCCTCCGCCATCCTCTGGCCCTTCCTGTGCCGTTTCAGGGTCAGGATGAGCAAGACGAGGACTGATGTCGAAGGAGAAAAAACAAGACAGAGAAAGAGAGAGCATGGTTATAACTCGACACATAAAATCAAATTAGCAGGTTATAATATTAGGACAAAGGAAGATTTTTTTCATGCGTGGGCACATGATGACCTTGTGCTGTCAGAATAAATGAAGGTTATATATACATACTTGTCAAATCCTGCTGAACAATAGGACAAGATAAAGCCAAGAGACTTCCTATTGAAGGGGTATTATGAAATGGAATTACAACCAAGTTAAGTATGATACTTTTACGACACAGCAGACATGGATCTAGATTTGTCTGACTGTGTTTGAAGGGCCTGGATGCAGAAACAGAATTTCCCTTCATCTAACAAAGAATACTGACAAAACAAACCCATCCCCAGGGCACTATGTGCTACATAAATCAACTCAAGAAAACAATTGTCCTAAATGTATAAATACCCTACACACTAAGCATGCACTTTGCATGTTTTTTCATTTTTTTCGAAGAAAGTTTTCCAACTACTCCCGTTGTAACTTTGATTCCAACTCTCAGGACAAAGGCACAGCAGGGGATGATAATATATTATCAGGTTTTACATTTCAAATGCATGAGCATTGATTTTCCTGATTGCCTTGCCTAGAAATATGATTCAAAATACCTAATGGAGACCAATCTGAATATCAATACTCATCCAAGTCAAGTGATTCCATCACTGTTTCAAACCAGAGGCAACAAAAACTTAAAACAGAGAGAATGCCCTGAAAATTAATCCTGGAATAAAGAAGGGGGAAATGATAGGGATGGATCATGTTGTAGTCTAATGAAATGAAAGAGGAAAACAAATGCTGCATGCAAAGATAAATCAATGAGGCTTTAATTTCAGCTTAGTTGTTTTAATTACTGTCTACATTTGTGATTAGACAAGTCTCACTTAGCTCAGACATCACCACCCCTGACTCCATCATCCCTTTAAAGTGTGTGTGTGTGTGTGTGTGTGTGTGGGGGGGGGGGATGCTCACTTTCCTCTGAAACCTCCACCAGAACAGCAGCAATATGAAATGTTATTTTCAGTGATAAAAAAAACCAACATATTATGTGCAATTCTGAATGAATTATGCATGCTGGTGAGTACAGGCAAGATAATGAACAACTCTATTTACAGAAGAACTATGGATAAAAAGCATCAATAGCCAAAGTATCTGCAGAGGTCTCCTCTTTGTTGTAACAACAGACCCAGTGATAACACATAAAAAGACAAATCAAAAGCAGCTGTAGGGAAGCTAGCTGCGCGGCTGCTAGCTTTAATGCTAGGCTACGTTTTTTTATATTATCTCTATTATCTTAAGAGGTCTCCTCATCTCCAAAACAAAATACTAATGAAGCAGTTTTACAATCAAGTCAGTTTCTCAATAAAGATTTTCAGTGAGACTTCATGGGCTGCAAGCCAAGCTGCCATTTACTAGGACTGACAAGCTAAATAAATCCTTCATTTAATACACATTTAATTTAAAATTATACATATAATTTAGCTAATCCATGACCTGAAACACTAAGAAAGATGCTTATCAGGGTTTTCCCATAAATGCTGGCTGTCAAAGTGTGTTTTGCAGGTGAAATAACAGGTTGACATCGTAGTTTGGTGGCGTTTAAACAGAGATAGCAAGCTACTAAAGAAAAATGTGATACACACAGTTGGGTAAAGCCTTTCACTACACGTGATTACACCAGACAGTGAGCCTGAACAACCTTAGTTTACTTTTGATAAACTGATTATGCAAATTGACTCAAGGCGTTATTGGATCAGCTCTTATTACCCTCTCTGTGAAACATAACCGATCAAAATATGTTTATTGCGTTCCAAAATATGAAGTCTCACTCTCTCACTTCTGATTAGAATCTGAATAAGCAACACTTTATCCTGCTCATGTTTTTTAAAAAGCTCTTATGAGTGTCCTTTTAGTATTTCAAATAAATGCTGAGACATATCTAACATTGGCGCTAAAAAGAGGCTTATATAACTCATGAACGTCTGTGATGAAGTGGAGAGTATACACATGAATAGATGACAGTGTTTGCCCTTAGTTAATGTGTTGTATTGGCAGAGGGATGCGTTTCCTAAGGCCAGTCAGTTTGGACTGTGTTAACATGCAGCATTGGATAGAAACCAGTCTTTTTCTCCCTTTTAGAAGGGACGATGAGCAACTGCTCAAAAGGATGCCAGTACAGGGACATTTAGATAGATCATTAACCAGTAGGCATCATGCATCTTGTGGAACAGATAGCCTGTTGCCTAAAACAAATGCCTACAAGTCCCAAAGAGATAAAACGGGGCCTGTGCTTGTCTGTGATGCCACAGATTGTTGAATGCTCTGAACTCCCCACAACACCCATCCATACATTTTAAAAATGAGATAGGACCAAATTGTTTCCCAGTCTAACTAGATCAATGTCACGACTTTGGTGAAGGAAGCTCACATATATGTTAAAGCACATATATCAGTATGCATGAAGATCCCTCATGGACAAATGCAACCTTTCAAAGTGACCTTGTGAGTGAAAAAGTGCCCATAAAACAGCAAGTTTCACCTTTTTCTTTTATCTCCCACAGCTTCTGTTTTCCCTCTCCTTAGCAAACTGCAAAGAAAACCTTCAAACCATCGATTCTCAGCACATAATCTGTATAAATGACTTGTTGCTGCTCCCCATAATTGTCTTCATTTGGTGTAAACGGCCTGAAAAATACCTTGCAGAGTGAAAACGCCCCGTGTGTTCCTTGCCTAAGGATCTGTGCCAGCCCTAAAGAGCCTCTGTGATCTTGAATGGGGATTTTATGCAGTATCTCTGACTGATAATGTACATTAGTTCTCCTCTTACATTGTTTGCAGGGCTCCAGTGGGGAAGCGTTGTCTGTAACCATTGTGTTTATTCTTCTCCTCCATGAATGAGGCGAATTAATTGCCACGGGGTTGAGGAAACAGTCATGGTTTGTGGTAAATTGCAGCGCCCGCTGCCTTGCATACTAAATAAGCGCTAAGACAATTACTCTAAATTCACACTAATGAGGAGAGGAAGAGGAGGGAAGAAAAGTTGATGTTTTAAACTCTCTCAAACGTGAAGATCAGCCACTTTAGAAAAAAAAAAATATTGTCGGAGTATGTGACAGCTGATTCTGAAGCATTAGAGCAGATAACCCTCACTTCTAAATGCTTCCTAACTGATAACATTTGAGTGTCACTGCCTATTAGCTACACAGATGCTTCAACTGCTAGATATTGAAAACCTATTTAACTTGGAGATTAGATCACCTCAGGCAACATTAACACAACACCATGTACAGATTTTACCTTTTGTAGGAAGCATATGTACCTGTGTCTAGCTGTCTTCTACACATACAAAGCAGCTTTCCCGTGTGTGCAGATGTTGCGATAAGCGCTCCTGACAAGACGGTTAATTTACCCTTGGGCTGCGCTGGTTGCCCCCACCCAGGAGTTCATCACAAGCAGATGGGAGGTAATTGGAATAGATGCATGCAGATGCTGCGACACAGTGGAATGGATTCATCACATCAGGCCCATAAATGAGCTGATGGAGGGACTGTTTGTTTGTAAGGTAATTAGGCAGAAATTTGTTTTCATTTTTCTCATCATCCAACAATTGATGTAATGGAGGTGGTCCAGTCTCTGGAGAGGGGGGAGTGCTGGCTTGGCTGGCTGGCTGGTTTAGTAGATACTGCGTATGTGGAGGGAATGTGTGTGAGAGAGGGAGTGCGCATAGGATAATTGTGCACGGAGAGACTGCATTAATAGGTGAGGAGTGATTTGTCTAAGCTTGTGAATGCGTGCTTAGCATGCACAAGCACAAGCACACGGAAAGGATTGCACAGCTCTGAACCTGTGCCATTGAGACAAAAAGACATCGTCTAATTCACAAAGCACCCGAAAAGGGAAAAACGCAGCCCTAAATGCGCTACAGAGCAATTAGCATCTCTGAGCGCTGGTGCTGTTTGTGGGTATATGAATTAGCCTTTTGTTTTTGGGAGAATAATTTTGGGGGGAATTGGACCTTTTCTATGCAAATGAATCTTGTACAAAAAAATGTCTAATTTACAATCAAGGGTGCCAATAGTCATGCACAGTTAACGTGAAAAACTGACCATCTGCTGTGTCTGTGTGTGGCAGTATTTACAATGGATATCATGCTCAAACCTTCCAGTCATCAGGAGAATAATTCCACCTTTGTATGACCTATAATTAAATTACCTGTAAGTGAAGTCTAAAAGTATTATCTTGAAATGACATTAATTATTATAATCAAGGTTTGAATCCTTGCAGGTCTGTCTGGGGATACACCAACAGTTCAACCTTGCACATACGGGCAGCCTCTTAGATGAATGGAGAGTGTTGAAAATTACACTATCGGGGATGAATGTTTTATTTTTTTATTATTATTTTTTTTTATCTGGACAAGTTACTTGTGCTGGCTTTGTTCTAAATGAGGAAACTTGCATCAGCAAATCTGTTGAATCTGGGGTTCGCAGTAAACTGGAAAAGTGTCCCCTCCCATTCCAGCTAATCATCTGTCTGTGGGAAAAAAACGAGCTCTGTCAGCAGAGAGTGGAGGTCAGGATGGCTCATCTTCACAATCAGATGCAAAACAACAGCAAACTACAAGGAAAAGGACAACTTTATAGGCACATTTTTTGCATGAATAACATTAGCAAAATAAGCTTGGGAAATTGAACCTTGAGATGGATCAGATAGCAAGGGTGCAATCAATGTGCATTACAGGGGGCTATAAGTGTCCGTGATCAATTCATAGTGAATTCTCCCGTTTCTGTGTCTATGTGTGTTTCATTGAAATCAAGCAGGAACATGAAAGTGTTAGACAATGTGCAGTCGGAAAGATCGCTGCCACATGCCTTGCTGCCCGTCTGCTTTTCACACTACATGATAGCTGTGAAAACACTGCTCATCCTCTGATCTCAGACCCCACAGCCCTTTACATTTTGCTGTCCACATCATGACTGGCAGAAGACAGGCGCTCCGATTTATTCTGTCCTTCACTGCTTTGATGAGCCATGTTCGCTCTATTTTCTACCAATCAGTTTCAGTCACTCAGAGTGGCAATGACTAAACACTTTCGCAGACGCTATTGGAATCCGCGTGGCATCGTTTTATTACTGTAATCAAAGTGACACTAAACATGAAATGATACTAGGTAGGATCTTGCCTCCGAGGGCTTTTAACAAGATTCTCTGCATAATCTGTGTTTTCATCCAGACCACCAAGGATGAACTAAAAAAAAAAATCGGTTTTCTGCACAGTGTCTAGCTTTCCACAAGTTTAAAAGGCCACAGAACCGTTTGAAACTCAGGCCTTTGAGAGGGTGTCATCTCATCCTCAAACATCCCAAAAAAAAAAAAACACAGCAAACACAGTTTTTTTTCCCTTTGGCCAGAAAAGGTTGCCTCAGATTTGTACATAACATTTTTTTTTGTTGGGGCTTTTAAAACCCTGATGAATAAATGATGCTATGCTTTTGAAGTTCACTGCAGTCGAAGGTTGCGTTAATGGAGGCAAAGCTTTAACAACTCTCATTAGAAAGGCTCTTCAAAGGAAACAGATAGCCATGTAAGTTACAGTTAAATCTGCCCGTGTGGTGTCGGTACCATCCATCATTCACTGCCTGCACAATGGAAAAGGTGGATAGGTGCGAGCGGGGGAGACAAAACACTGTCACAATGTTTCATTCTGTCACTAAGGAGTGGGATGCTAAGATGTTCGGCTGTGGGAGGAGGAAAAGCGAACTCATAAAATTTTCAGATATGACAATGTGAAACCGCTTCAGTCTCTGAGAGGGTGAGTATGCATGCGTATGTTAGCGTGTGCATGTGTGTTTAAAAATCAGAGAATGTCTGGAAAGCCTTGTCTATTTAAAGCCCGCCTGCTGCTCCCGAGGTATACAAGCGCTGAGGCAGCTTCCTGCCTGTTTGCTCTCTCTAAACCCCCACCACCTCCCCATCCCCCAAAACTTCATTCCCATTCACTCCATCTGTGTCCGTGTTCCGAGGATCAAAGTGACGTGATATCATTCATAAACCCCGACATCATCCGTGCTCCTGTTTAAACAAAAGCTCCCTCCTCATAAAAAGCGGCCACAAAATGTCCAACAGGAAAAACCGCTCATGAAAGGACGATGAAAAATTGATCTTGCTTTTATGTCATTTGTCTTAGTTTTTCTGCCACCGCACTTGCAATTTCATCCCTGAAATATAGATGACTTCTAAAAGTGGTCGATCCATTAAAAGGCACATGCTCGGCTGCATGAAGTGGTGGCTTTGAGTGAAGCCCTCCTTGCACTTCTATATTCCACTAGAACGTCATGCCTGTTGTGCTCCTGCTCGAGTAGCTGAATTTAGCAATGACCCCCCCAAGAAAGCCATTCAAATGAACCGAGCTTATCAATCTTTGGACCCATTCCTCATACACACATCGACTTTCATCCACCTATACATTCATTCCATCCACTTACCTATAAGGATGAGCATGCAGACCAGCAGTGCTATAAGGGCTCCAGGGCTAAGTGCAGCACTCATTACATAGGCTGTGGCGTTGCAGGACTGGATGGCTCCCTCTGTGTTGCAAAAGAAAAGTTATCATTTACTGTTCACATTAAACTTCATTAATGAGTCAACCAAGTGGACAAGGATTAAGCACTGTTTATCGAAAGAAAAAAAAGCTGTTTTTACTATTTATTATGTGTTCAGCGCCATGTGTCTGCAGATTTGTGTTTCCCACAAATATACGCTGATAAGAACCGTTTGCTGAGCGAAACAATGGCAAATGTTGGTGACCTTTTCCTACCGCTGCGGTTTATGCACAAGGTGACAGTGATGTTAATGTTAGTAATGGTTGCAGCTCCTACAGTTAGCTCTCACCTGGGTCACAGCCACAGACATGGATGGTCAAGGTGCCTGTGGAGCTGAGAGAGGGAGGCCCGCTGTCAACCACCAGGATGGGCAGGAAGTACACATTCTGCTCGTGGCGGTTGAAGCCTGACCGCTGGGTCCGGATGCCAGCTGTGTTGTCTTTGTGGGAGATGTGGGTATGTCAGAGGGTGGACGGGTGGGGGGGTTCAGACAGACAAGGGAAAAGCAGAGAATTACACATGAGCAACTTAATATTTGAAGAAGAATAATAAAAAAAATGTCCCTTCCCTCTCTCTGCTTGTGCTCGTCCATGTCTGTTTTTTTTCTTCTTTTTACCAGGCTCCAGTAGAAATGATGAAAGTCCTGTGTGTGTTTTTATTACCTCTGCAGAGGAGGTTATGTTTTTTTCGGTTCTGTTGTTTGTCAGCAGGATTACTGATAAAACTACTCGCCTGATATTTATGAAACTTGGTGGAACGATGTAGAATGGGCCGAGGAAAAAACTCATTAAACTTTGGGAACGGATGTGGATCTAAATCACACACAAGCAAAATATCTCAAAGGTAAAGTGAATGGTATGGTGCTACACTGGTACTGGACACAACAAAACACAACCTCAACCTCAAACAGGACTTCAAAGAATATAGACAGCATGATAAAGCTATAGCTAGACAAAACCATAAGTACATAAAGTAAGGTCAAGCCAACTTTATTTATATAGTACATTTAAAAGAACTACGGTTTACCAAGGTGCCTTACAGAGTAAAAGGTAAAACAAATATATCATAAAATAATATTAAATCGTAATATCGATTGGGTTAAAACATGCTTAAAAAAAGCTTGGCATACGCTATAAAATTGTAGAAAAGTTGCGGCAGAATGTCAGCTCACACTGTACGACTGGAGAGTTTACGACGCACGACCAGAGCTCACGATTAACGTGCTCAAACTGTACGACCAAAGTATTACACATGTCAGAAATTCATCCCACTGATCGGGAGCAGATGTTCGAATGGTGATCAGCTATCATGCCTCAGTGTACACTGCACGACTGACACAGGGTGATCGCACTTCAAAATGTGTTGTAAAACTCAAATATCTGGTCTAAATCTGTCTGAAATTCAGGCACATCCAGTAGCAGCTGGATGGTGGTCCCTAATAATCTGGCTTGAGCGAGAACACCCATCGGTTGATTTAAATAAGGTGTCTGACATAAAGTGATAGACCATTCTCAGCAAGCCATTTTAAAATCAACCCTGTAGCAAACAGGAAGCCAGAGGAAAGAGAGGAGCACAGGGGTAAAGTGGGAAAGGAGTGCAATCAGCTGCAGCTATTGAATGGACTGACTGGTCCAAGCCCACATCCCATATGTAAGATATGATGCTCAGCATGTCAGTGTTTATAGAAGAAGGAAGCATCGATCAGGGTGATGAAACACTCTGTAAGGCTGGTTGGAACTGCACTGATTGCAAAAGTAACCTCTGTAACCTTCTTGAAGTAGGTCTATCGGGCTGTTATAACTCAAATGAAACATTGATGTTTAAAATACCTCAGCCCCTGTTGGTTGAGGTTTTCTACCTCATACCTTAAAAAGGCTGTTGATATTTCCCTTTAATTTACCGGTCTGTAATAAATAAACTGCTGTAGCTTATAGCATGTCCAGTTTGGTGTTCATCTTTTTCCTGTATGCTTCAATTTAGCTGATTTCTCTCTTTCAAGCTCTTTGTGTCTTTAAGTCTCTTGTAGTTTCCCTTTGCTGTCCTGTTTTCATCTTCTATTTCTTACTTCATCAAGGAGTCTGATTCTGGAGTAGTGGTCTGTCTCTACACACAGCGTGGTAAACAGAAACATCAGATTGCAACATGCTATTTTAGGCCAATCAGAATTGAGTATTCAACACAGTCATGTTATACTGAATACAGCAGATTGTTTTCAAATGATCCTGACAGATATTGTGTTTTTAGCTTATTGATTCGGACTGCGTCGTCCCCCAACCAACGCCTGACGCCCAGCCTGCACCATCGGACTGTGTCGTCCCCACAACCACCGCCATCCTCAATCATGCACGGCCTGCTGCGACCTCCACCTCAGCGGCAAGGAAATGTGAACAACAGGAACGCGAGGAATACAAAGGAGAAGTTCTTTCTGCATATTATCCCATACTGTATGCTCTTCTGTAAAGCTTCTCAAGATAAAACTTGTTATGAATTGGGGCTATACAAATAGTGATTGATTGAGGATTGATTTGTGATCATAGACTGCTGGACTTCAGCGTTAGATGTCTGTGCTTCCCAAATGTCCCTTAGGTTTTTGATCCTTTCAACAAAAACTCAAAACTAATGGACAAATGGAAAAAGTACACAAATTAAGATGGTTTTGAATGTATACTTATCCATCCATCCATTATCTAAACCGCTTTTCCTGTTCGGGGTCATGGGCGGCTGGAGCCGATCCCAGCTGTCATTGAACAGGAGTCAGGGTACAACCTGAAATGGTCGCCAGTCAATCACAGGGCTGACATATAAAGACAGACAAGCAGCCACTCACACCTATGGGCAATTTGAAGTCACCAATTAACCTAACCAGCATGTCTTTGGACTGTGGGAGGATGCCAGAGTACCCAGAGGGAACCCACAAATGCACGGGGAGAACATATAAACGCCACACAGAGAGACACCTGTCTGACGGGGATTCAAACCAGAAACCCTCTTGCTGTGAGGCAACAGCGCTAATCCCTGCACCACTGTACAGCCCGTGTATACTTATTTAACTTTTAAAAAAATAGATTACTTTTTCAAGAAATGGTCCAGTGCTGAACAACGAGAAAGAGTGTTACTCTTTGCTGAATAAAACATTTGCCCAGATGCATAGTTTAAGGACATTAGACATCGAATGCCGAGTTTTATTCAAACTTAAATGATTTCAGCAAGGGATGAAACGTCTTTTGTGCTTTTAACATTCATCTTCTTTTTAAAACAAACAAGTAAAAAGGAGAGCCACTGTTTGAAATTAAACTTCACTGGTGTATATATGAGCCCTCTCCAGGAGACAGAGATAAATGTAACTTAGAATACAGGAGGAGGCTTTGACAAATAGAGTCAGAGAAGCTCTGTGGGTAGACTTTCACAGAGGATACCAGGCAATCCATCTCTCTGAGCATAAATCACTGTTATCCACGTCACCCTTACAGCTCCTCTGGCACATGTAGAACAATCTTCATATTACTGTTTATGTGCAGGAACGTTACGCCCCAGAGTTTGTCCTTTTGACTCTTACGCAGCACTCTCCTCAACGGCTGTCTGCTTCAGAAAGAGGTTCTATCTGAGACATATGAATAGACTCAGACGGAGGTATTTGATGTTGTTTTGAATCAAATAAAACTGCCGGTTAAATGCTGGCTTTACTAGTTTAATGTTAACAGCAAAACGCATCCACCTTTCCTCAATGTATAAAAGAGTTATTATATTTACCTTCTTTGTATTTCCAAATGAACACGTATCTTGTGAAGAGAAAATGAAAAAAAGTCACCTGACAAACCAACTAAAAACAACACAATGAACAATGATTTTTCCTAGCTTAGAAGTTAGCTTTATGGGGTACAGGTGGTCTAGCGGTTAGGTTGTGCCCCCTGTACGACGGTTAAATTCCCTTCAAGGGGGGCGGCCCAGGTTCGATTTAGGCCTGTGGCTCCTTTCCTGCATTCCTTCCCCGCTCTCTCATCCCCAGGTTCCCTACTCTATCCACTATCCAATCAAATAAAGGCAAAACGCCCAGAAATAAGTCTTTAAAAAAAGCAATTACCTTGATTAGGATGTTGTAGTAGGGCATGGTAGTGTTTTTGATGGATGCTTATGTATGCATGCTAAGCAGCTATAATGTTTTCCATGCCTGTGTTAGTTAAATGAGCTAACATTTTCCAATTAGCACATGCTAATTGGCTGATTGTTGTGTAGTTGCTTTAGGAAAAAAAAAAAACTTTTACTCCAATTTCATAAAGTAGAGAGGGCAGCTGAACAACCGGGCTGTTTTATTTTATTAAACAACAAGACAGCATTTCATGCTGGAGCTAACTGTAACCTGGGAGAGAGTTTAGAGGAAGTGGAGTAAAGGAAGCAGGTGGGGGGGGGACTGTGGATGGGAACAGGTGGAGGAGCAGGTGCATGCCAGTAAAGGTGGGAAAAGGTTTGCAAGTCATACACTCAGGAAGTTCTATAAAACCCTAGACAGGACAGAGCAAAGCAGGAGAGCAGGCATCAACAGGAACATGGAAGCAGCTAAGAAAGAGAGATGGCTAGATGAGTCGGGCAAAAAAGTCCTGACTGAGGAGACTAAATGGACCTCTGACTGGAATTTTTTGATCATGTGGGTGACCAAAAACATCCAATGACTCCACTCATGATGTCTCCAAGTGGGTGCTTTAGAAGATGTATAAAAATAAAATGTGTCAAACAATAGACTGGGCCAACCAACAGATGCACACAGCCCTCTCTGGAGCGACGCTTTTGGAATGACTAATGAGAAGAACTCGTTTAACAGAAAGATCATGGTCATGGGCAAGAGGTATAATTAAGGCAACTGAACAACAAGTGTTGTTATTTTTTCTTTTGTGGACAATCTTGAACCCACACTTGAACTCCAGTCACAATAAATGACTCAATATTCTGTATTCATTGGACACAAAAAGCAAAAATAGCCACTAAAGCTATGAGTTGTCTCTGAATTGAATGTCCTCTGTGTCTGGAACTTTATGTTGTTTTGCAGCAACCAACATGACCGGGTCTTTCATGAGAATAAAAGCCTATGTCTCAGTGAGATTAAGTGTCTTAATAAAGGTTAAAGAAGCAAAAAATAACATAGCAGATTTGTTTTATTGTATTAGAATATGCTATATCACAGCTTTAAATATTTAACAACATGAAGGCTGGAGATAAATGTGCTTTGATCTACACGTTTGCGTGCACATGATGGCCGCCCTGCGTTCCCTGAATCTGTTTGGAGCGCCAGTTGTGCACTTCCTCAAAACACAACGCAAGATGGGATGTGCCCCTGCAACAATGGTGAAGAGAGTTTTGAAGACCAAATGATAGACCAGGCTTGCAATTACCCTCATCTGTACAATGTATCGTGGCCACTGCACAGTCAAAAAACATGCCTGTAAAAATAACTTGCAACAGAAAATTTGGAGAATCTAAATCAAGCTTTAAAGCAGGTATATCGCCGGTCTAAGAATTCTAAACTGATGTTTTGAGGCTGATGAACTCTAAAATTTGGCTTTTCTTTGCATACATCATTTTACCTTTGCCGTTCTTGCTTTAAAGAATGGCTTCAGAAAAACCCAGAAACCTCCACAGTTGTGTTGAAAGAAAGAAATCTCATCCAATAAATGTGCATTTATTTTCCTTTGTAACCTCCATACAACATAATGCTTTATTGTAAGCATGTTATTGCATATTTAAGGTAAAGCGGGTAGTTTGTCATGTAACAGCAACATTGATTCTGTAAATATGAGGTTATAATTTACAGACTGCCGGCGATGACTTAAAAGAGTTTAGCAACATGGGGGAAAAATGCCTTTTCATCATTGTGTGTCAAGGCTTCGAGACAGAGCGCAATGTGAGGCCATGATGGGTAAAAGAAGAAGTGACAGATTGAAAGTGACAGGTTGACAAATGTGTCCATGAAAAGAGACACCAGAGTGGCAAAAAAAAAAACAGAAAGAAAAGGGACGGGTGGATAAAAAACTCTGCGTGTGGATTTGTTTATTTTTCCCCATAGTATATACAGGGAATGAAGAGTATATCAATTTTTTAACAGATGTGTGTATTTGTTTGTTTGTAGGTTTGTGTCTACTGAGTGATAACAATCACATCGAAGAATGGACATCATGTGATTTGAGTAATTCTTCCTAGTTACCTACATAGACACAATTAACACACATGCTTACAAATAAGGGGAAGAAATAGTCAATAGTCTGTGGATGTTGTGGTGTGTGTTTGATTTTTCTGAAGGAAAAAAAGAGCAACAGGAACACTTCACACTCTATCATACTTCTGCTCCCTAATCCATACATATGTGTAAGTGCAACTTGTGTGTGCATGTTACACGAGACCCTTGCTATTCATGTACTCGTCGACATGCATGTGTGCAGGACTGCAGCAGACCTCGCTGCCTCCACACGGTGACATTTCCCTAGCTTGGGCTGCTCCCCAGACATTTTCCTGGTGTCAGATCAATCTTGATTTAGCCAGATGTCACATTCACTTAAGTACACATCTCTAAAGGAGGAATCTGCAAGCACGTTTGCAAAAGATAAAAACACAGACAAGCATAAAAAAACAAAAAAAAACCTCATCCTATAGTAAAGCAAAGTCATCACAGGAAAGGGGGAGAGGCGCACTGATTTAAAAGTACTTTTACACAGGAAAGGTTTTGTATGGCTGTTGTGTTTTCATGGAGGACAATTTCTATGATGACACTTCAGAAAATAATGCTAGCTGTTGACTCCCTTGTAAAGAGGAGTGTTCAATTAAGTGCTGAAATGGACAATATTCTTAAAGAGAAGGACGATAGATAAAAACATGCATTGCTTAGCCTTGTAGATTAGCTCGGTGAAACAAACTTCTTCAAATAAATTGTGAAAAAAAAAGTATTTTACAACTTCAGGGTGGAAGTCATCTGTGGAATGTATTAGTTCCTAATCAAATCAGTCTGCTTAGAGGAGCAGAACAGGTGGTGTTTACCAAAAAATAAGAAATTTCTACTTGATTACCAGGAGACTATACTTAGTCACATAAATAACAAAAAGTATTTTGTATTCACTCTGAAAGAGTACCTAATAAATGTAGAAAAAGATTTCAATAGTGCACTCATCATCAACCATCTGGAACCTAAATGTGGTGAAATTCTTGTTGGGGCTTTTCAATAAAGCTTTTGACTGTGCAGTTTTCGAAGCTAACTTAATATTTCCTCAAGGTCTATATTTGCAAAGTGCCCTCAAAAAAATGTCACCAAACTATTACATTCATAAGCATTGTGGGAAATAAACATATTTTCTTTTATTTTAAAGTGCTTTAATGTGATCTTGTCAAGTCCTCAGGTCAAGCATGGTATTGCTCTTTAGAGACAACACAAGTCACTCACATAAAAGACAAAAGCCTCTCCTACGGTGTTTTCACACATGATCAAAACTACAAACATTTCCTGAAATTTTAGGGATAAGCTGCATGTGTGAAGGTAAACAGAACAATTATTCAACCAGACTTCGAGCTCGCAAGCCTTAGTTATGCTTACAGCTATGTTTGAAGTCAGGGTGAGCGATACACGTGATTAAGCGTCTTCGTACTTATTTCTGCACGCCATGCACAAATGTTATTTTCCACTCAGTAGTTGATACTCTGAATACGTCCAATAAAACAGCATTGATAAACATGAATAACTTTAGTCATAGTGTCCGACTCTGACGCTTCATCCTCTTTCTTGGATTACCACAGCATCTCTTTTACATTAAGTCTTGCCTCCTGAGACCACCCCCACCTTGTCCTATCAGACAGAGAAAACCACCCAATGAGGGACATGTATGAATGAGCATCTCAGGGTCAGGCTGGGAAAACAACTTTAGAGACTACATTATACCTTAAAAATCCAATTATGCTGATAATGCTTTTAGCACAGCAAATCCACTTCCTCTCCCATAACCCTGATACTGAACCTTTGCTCTCTTACCTTTGACATCCCACAGGGTGAAGTGTCGATTGCTGGAAGCTTCCGGGGCCAAGGTGAAGTAGAAGCGATGTCCTGTTTGCGGCTCGTCTCGATCCACCACGCTGATCGTGTGAATTAACTAAAGAGAGAGAGAGAAACAACCAAAACAGACGAGGAAATTAAATAACAAGCAAGGAAAAACAACTGAGGTTAGATTTTCTACTCAGATCTCCTCAAGGGGAATATGAAAATGAATATGAAAAGCACTTTTCATTTCAAACGCCTCTTTTAAGGGTGAGGGAGGGAGGTTGAGTGAGTGTACTTGAATGCAGCAGAAACAGAAGGATTCCTAGGAAAGTGCGGTTCAAAGTGGCTACAGTCACAAAGAGATAAAAACTTATTTCCCCAGAAAGTTGACACAGCAATCTGATTTTTTTTATTAATGTTAGAAATGCAAAACTATCATAAAGAGCCTTGCTTAAGAGCTTTTTTGAACAGAAAAGGACAAAGATATTCTGCATGGCTGCCGTATTTGCTCTGAGATGGAGCAAAAGGAAATTTCAGAAGTGCAGAAGAACAGAGAGAGAGACAGAGAGACTGTGAAGGTTTAGTTCTTCTGTCCGATGCAAAAATAGTGTTCCCATTTCAATGATAAAACTACTGTGATCCAATTTTGAGAATTCTGTATGGACACAATAAGGTGAGATAGGATTCACTATGAGCTGAACACGCATCAAACAGCCCCCGGAGATTCTTTCACCTGAACATAGGCCTCTCAGTGACAATTCATCCTCGTCTCATCCACTAATCTGCAGCCAGTGTCACACCACAAGCTGATAAATTAGATTTTTCACATCACATCCATCTATTCTGCTTCGACATCACGCACCAGTCAACATATTTCTTATTATTTTAATTTTTTCAACTTACCTTTACTGCATGTTCTCACTGTGAGCATGCATGACTGGTTGATCTGTATTTTACTCTTGCCATCATTTGCCCAGGGACTACAGATGGAAATGAGCTAGTTAGCTAAATCTGGTACAAAGCATTTTTTCTCTTCTGAGACTAATGTTATTTTGTACACAATCCCTGATTCAAATAAACTAAACTAACTAACTATACTGAACTAAAAAAAAAAATCCAATTAGAAAAAGACATTCAGTACAGTATAAGCCAGCAATCGTATAAAATTAAGTCTCCATGAAAGACAGAAAGACAAGGACACTCTATCAATCTAAGAACCCCTTTGGTTTTCTTCTGACGTTGACATGGCCTTGAGCCTTGTTCACATTATGCACTCCTGAAAATATATAGATAATTTCAGGAGGAGTGCTCAGGAGATTCTCCTGGCCTGGCTGTTCACATATGCTCCTCAAAGTGGGAGCATATCCCTGTCAGACGAGAGGAGGGACGGGGGGGGGGGGGGGGGGGGGGGACGGGTCTCCTGAAGTAAGATGTGACATAATAAAACAATGCGGTAGGGGTTGTAAAAAGAAAAAGTGTAGGGGACGAAGCAACAGAGTCTGCTACACGATGCTATAATTAGAATATTTGCCTTTATATCAATGCTATGTGTGGTCCAATGGAATGACAACATCAACAAAAGAGTGGAGAACAACATACTGGTGAACAGAAAAGATAATGAGGCCTTTCAGTTACGTGCACGGAGATCTTAGCGGCCGTGTGTATACACTCTATGCACCGTGCAGCAGTCACAGTATAGAAACGTCAATCCCCCTCCCATTGGCTCGAGCTGAATTCTCTGGAGAATATCCTGCTACGTTCTCACATCAGCTCATTCGGAATTGCTGTGGAAAAAATACAAGGGGTCTAGCAGGAGAAACTCTGGTTGAAGTCCGAACAAAAAATTGGGCTGTTTGCATTCTCATATACTGTACAGCTTCTCCTGGAAATATCGTGAGTTTTTCAGGAGATTTCTGAAAGTGTGAAAGCCCTATTTGTGAGCTTTTCACAAGCTTCTGGTGTTGCCAATGGTCAGCAATAAAGGCTTTCTTTGCAATCTGACTAGCAACTTGAGAGATGAGCATGGAGTTGGAGTTCAGACACAGTGCCAAGAATGAGCAGATTTTTAGCAGCACTTGCACTTGTCTGTTGGAAGACGTTAATCAAAACAAAATTGTCATCAGTCGATAGGCTTTTGGACCGCTGGCCGCCGGGGTCTCTGCTGGCCGCTGGCCGCCGGGCACCGCAGCAGCCGAGAAACAAAACCGGCCTGTCGGCAGCAACCGTCTCGCGTATAAGTAAACATGTCTGTAAACATGACCTTAGTGGGAGTGGCCTGTGGTGCTGTGCATTCTGGGATTTGGTGTCTTTCATCCACATGAGCCAAAAAGACACTTTCTTCCTTTTCTTGGCCAAGAAGGCACCAACTTCAAAATTTATTTCACATTTCTACATATATGACCCAATGTCAATACAGATTCATGTTTCAACGGGTGAAGTATCCCTTTAAGTTGCACTGCTACATAACGATGGTTCTATATACTGTACTTATGTGTGAAGGTTTGTTCCAGTACATTTCCCAGGCATTGTAGGAAGTGAGCAGGCTTTACTGGCTTACACTCCTATGTGAACTAAGTAAGTGTTGTGTGCGGCAACTATACACAGCATTAAAATACATTTGCAAAATAAACATTTTAACAAGTATGCAAATGCATCTGCTGCTGGGCTGTCTATCACACTATCACTGAATACATTAGACATGAAGCACAGATGGCATTTGTCAATAAAACATACTTTTTGTTTTTATAACCGGGTCTACAGAGAAAGTTGAAAGCTGTCAGTGACTTTATGGATGCTCAATTTAGTTTATTTTCTGTCTTTGTCAATTTGATAGTTTGGGTATTTGCTAAACAACAGCTCAACCCACTCATGTCTGCCGCTAGCGCGCAGTTCGTCCCACTGCACACAACGTCAGCTGTTCGCACTTATTCTATACAATGGGCTTGTTTGTCCAAAACGATCCTCCCTCTAAATGTAAATATCTCCTTAATTATCTCCTTAAATGGCCGATGCTATTCTATGAGTTGCATAAAGAGACATCATACATAAATGGGCTGAGAGACACATTAAGAGATCTCCTGATCACAAAAAGGCTTCTTAGAGAATGACAGAGGTTGTGAATTATTGGAATAGTAAAAGGTGGGGGGAGATACGTTTATGACCCTCCAATTAATTCAGAATTCCAAGTGTGAAAAATACAAATATGTTTGTTTTGCGTACCATTATGCCAAAAAACATGTTCCGTTCAAGCTTTATCTTGCAGCAAGCACTGCTCCATCTGTGCTGTTAGAAATCAGCAGAGACACACATGACAAACAACCCCCAGAACTACTATTAAGTGAGGCATTTCTCACAATGATTAAAGCAGGATGTTCGATAGCTGTAACTCCTTTGTCTGCTCTCACAGAAGCTAAAGGAATAACAGATAACATCGAGGGAAATACATCAAACCATTACTCAGCTGTAACAGTAGCAGCTTCTTTACGGGGCGGGGTACTTATAAAATGTTAAACATGGCTTTGTTTACCTGACTTAACCCTTCCTCTGTCTATCTTTTTTTACTCCTCCTTTCTGCCTGCTTCCTCTATCCATCACCATGGTTTCCTTCCCCCCCCCCTCTGATTCCCTGTCCTTTGTGCTTATCTTCTCAAAAGAATCTCCCCCTCTTTCTTGTCCTTTCCAGAAAAATGTGTCCCTCATTTATCATCCACCTGTGAAATTGATTATTCAAACAATAAGACTGTAGATATTCTCCTCCGCGTCCCTCACACACAAAGACATCTGCTTTATTGTGTTGTTTTTAAGCTCCTGTTGCCTGTCTGTGCGAGACAGCCTCTTTCATTTTACAGTGTTGCATACAGCTCTGAATTATGAGACTGAGCGGTGGCTTTTGCATTGCTGTGACTAAGCTACTGCCGAAACCCACTTCCGGGGCCATGATTGTACCTCCACAATAAACAGCTCCTCAGCATTGACGTCGCATCACAGACACAGAACAGGCTTAGTCATAGCAATGGCTCAAGGAGGCTGTTTGGGATAAAATGGCTTACTTTGTAATTACAAAATGCTACGGCGTGATTTCAGGGTAAATCACATGCTTCTTCCTCAGTGTGCTGCAAAAGAAGTACTCTACAAACGCACAGAAACATGTGGAAATGAATGAACAAGGAGTAACTGTCTTTATTTCTACATGGATATTTTACGTGGAAGATTATGACTGCCATCTCAATCTTAACCACAGTACGGATTGCTATAGTTTCCACTGTGATGGCTTATACTGCTTTTGGGATGAGGGTGTAATGTGCATTTGATTTGGGATGCTCTGAATAAAGGGAACCATATGACTAACATAACAATGCTGCCATTGTGCAAAATGTTCAAGGCTTTGCAGACCAAATGTCTTTTTAGTATACAAAACAAAATGTACATGCTGTATTGGAGGTGCAGGATGATTCTCTTTTCATGGTCTACAGTAGTCATGCTCTGCAACTAAAAGACACCAAAGTCAGGAAAATTAAACAACCAGCTACGTAAGCCAAAAGCGTGCATACATTGGTTTCACTGGTACTTAAAATGCAAAGAAAACATATTCATCATAACAGATGATGTGGTGATTAAGTCCTGCCACGTCTCTAGTGCTTCGACACAACAGGGAGATGCAGAAATCCCCCTGGATTCTCTAAGCTGGTTGTGGAAATGTAGACTGTTGAGTTCTGTTGAGTCTAACAAAATGCTAAAACCTATAAAGCAGGTGCTTCTGTGGTGACTGGACAGTTATGAGGAGGTGGATGGGTTCAAAAAGTTGACAGCATGATCTGGAGTCCAAGAAAAAGTATTTTAAAAAGTCATATAAAAAGACAGTTTGTCACATCTTTTACTGATGTGAAAAACTTCTTGTGTGATGATTCTTACAACGTGAAGAAGTTTACAACTTGCAGATTCTGTGCAGGTTTCTAGATTTTTAGTACCATCTGTTTTTGGTGATTGGTGACAAATTTTAAATCACGTCAGGTGTGCAGCGGGTGATGGTTGCAGCCGCACTTGCAATCATTACGGCACTCTCAGCATTTTTACTATTTTTTTTTTTTACTGTTGTATTGATTGCACATTTCA